TGTTTGTTTAACTTTTGAAATATTTTCACTTTTATCTCTATCTTTACTTTCTACACATTATAACTACATACTTCTTCCCATGCAAAATAAGAAAATTTTTCTCATTGTTTAACTTTAAAAAATCTTGGAGAAATGTATATATGAATAAAAAATATCTCCTTAAGCAATAAACAAATTGCTGGCCATTTAGTGTCAAATATCAATCATATGCAATGCTTATTGTGACATATATCTTGCACTCTCACTGCTGAAAGTTTCTCTAGAAAAGAATGTCCCTATTATACATAATTAATTACTAGCATAGGATGAGCAGAATGAGATTTTTTTTTTATTTTGAATATACTAGGGGGAGGATTGGGTTGGGTTGGGTGGTACGGGGAAGGGAGTGTAAGGAAGAGGTATTGGGTTCGAGTTCTCCCGACAAGATGTTTTCAGTAAGTTTGGAACATACTACAGGCGGGATGCATGCATTTCGGAAAACAACTTCAGTAAGTTTGGAAGGAAAGTTGTTTTCCATAAGATGAGTGAAAATATTTTACATAGGAAAATATTTTCAGTAACTTTTGTGCAACCAAACACGGGAAATTAGGAAAATATTTTCTTGGAAAACATTTTCACCCGAAACAAACGGACCCTCTGACTTTTGAAAGCCTCTCCAAAGATAAAAAATTACAATAATAATCAAACTCCCAACACAATGTGTACCATTGTTTAGCCATCTAAATAAGCAGCACAGCAATAGGACCAATCCATTATTATGTCTACAAATATGTTTGTTTTTTTTGTAGAATTTCATAGACGAATTTTGTTTCTCATTTGCTAAGTTCTATAAGTGGTAGTATATGACTCACTATCCAGACTAGATGAAGTACATAAATTGGCGAGTTTTGTTATACTATTTGCATGCTATTTTATGATAAATCTTTTCTGCACCGTTAGTGTAAAATTTTTTTTTACACGAGTAGCCTTAAATCCATGTCAACATTTATGAAAAAAGAATTTGAAATTTAAATAAAAATTGTATGTTATATATCTAAACCTGTGCATATATAAAATTTTTTATATTGACAGTGTAAAAAAGATTAATCTCACTTTTTTAATATGTAAAACTCAGAATTCAAGAAAAGAAAATAAAGCAATAATAGCGGACACCTACTTGAATGGATTTGGGCCAAGTAATTGAGGTGTAAGGCAGACAGCTACTTGAGTGGCCGAATTATGGAAATATCCGTCAGATTCTTGCTTGAATGGGCTTGTACCCATCCCACCAAGTGCTGCTCACATTCAAGGCTGAGCATTAGATTCCCAAATCCAAGAACATCTTTCCCAGTTTTCTCTATGGGCTCAACTTCAGTCAACAGGTGAATCAACAACCGACTCGGTTTTCTCGTCTGTGCCACAATATTACATGCAAGAGTCATTATGGACCTGCAATTGTTGGTCAAATGCCTAAACAAGATTTGTCTGTCTGCTACACCTACTGACACTGAAATATAGCTTCAAATTTTGGAGTTTTGATAACATAAAAATGTTAAACCAAAGGTCATGTTTTCACCGTAGATAAGATTTGTAGTAGCAGTGGCAAGCGACAACAAATCCAAATATTAGCATATTTAAGTTCAAACTTGAAGATAATAACTTAAGTTTAAACTCGAGTTCGACCTTAACTAATGCTATCTATATTCAAGTGCTTGAAATTGACTCGATTAAATACCAAGGAGTTTGAGCTCTCTCGAGCAAGTAAAAAGAGTTCAAATTGAATTCGAACTCGAATTTGTCCGAAACAAGAATTTGACCATATGAAAGATGGGGTGTACGTGAGGTAAAAAGAGTTCAAAACTTTAAGAGAGACGGTGTGAGAAAGATGGGGTTCCCGTCGTTAGAGTGCATGCTTTCTCCCAAGCCCAAGGAGATCGAAAGTTCGAACCTTTTGACTAAATCCGTGACAACCTGTGTTGCTTTCCGCTTTTTGAGTACTACAAGTCAAATTTGACCTTACTCACCAATGGCAGTGATGGCCATTGTCAGTTCACAGCTGGTTGTAATTAATCATCGTATTGACTGGGAGGAAGTTTTACACCGACCTTTCTTTTGTCCAAGGACCATCTAATACACAGTTTTTCTTTGTAAAAGGAGAGGTGAATAAAAAACAAAATTGGAACTACGTTAAATAGAAATTTGGAATTTAATTTCTTATCTTTCTTCAATTTGTAGGTTTGAAGGTTGGAAATTGCTCAATTTCCACTGGTTGTCGTTAGCAGACACAAGTAGTATGTGGTGCCTAAGCCAAGATTTTATCGCCAAGCTTGTCCTGTTTGGATTGTTATTTTCTGCGGGAAAATTGCATCATTTTTCGTGATCACATTTCCGTATTACCTTTTTTTCTCACATACATCAAATCGCTACAGTAATTTTTCCATGAAAAATGCAATCTTCGAAACCACATGAAATGTAACAATAGCAGAAATCTGTCTCTATATTAAATAATACTCCATCTTTTTTGTTAAAGTATATAAAATGTATTTTCAAGTCTAAATTATGTTCAAATTTAACAATAAAGAGTTTAAAAACGCCAAAAAAAAAAGTTTATCCTTAAATTAACATATAGATATTTAAAAGAGTATATCCTTGGTGCATCACAGATTTAATTAGGGTTGTGATTATTCAATAATAGCTCTACAATAATCAAAGTTTATAAAATGCATCCGTTATCCTCAGCTCTAAACTTGGAATTTGACATATTTGAGTCTGTCTCCTCCCAACCAAACCACCCCATTCCACTTGTCAGCACTTGATTTTGACTAATTACAAGGACTAAAAACCAACCTGCAGCTAGCAGTTTCCTGATCATCCTTCATTCTCAGCCAGTAGCTCAGGGCAAGAACTACAAGCCAGAAGTCCATCACCTTCACCAACTGGTTACAACCTTGATAACATGAGGTCCGCAGCGTTAATTATCCCTGGCCTTCAATGGGATCCAGTTCCATCAAATTTGTGATTTTACAGATTGCCAAACCATATGACATACACGGACTAATGTACAATGTACAAAATTTTAGTATCTTGATGCAGATTTAATGTACATATTGTTGTTTAATTAGATTCAATCAGTCTACTCGTGCTTTTTCTATATTGAATTACTTGGCCTCCAATCCTTTCACTAATGTTGTTGTAGAACTGTAGGCGTGTACTACTATAACACTTACAAAAGAATAATCAAAAAAGAACTAGAAAAGTCTTTCTTCCTAAAATGAGGATTAGATTTCAGCTCATCCCATTTTTGAATTCCTAGTGTGTCCTTTCTATTCTTCAAGAAAACTTTAAGACCCCGTTTAGATTGCATTTTTTACGAAGTTTTGGAGAAAAAAAAAATACTGTAGCATATTTTTAAGATGTGATGTACGTGAGGTAATCTGTGATTCAAACTAGGCTGTTGTTGGAGTGAGTTAATTGTAATTATGTAATTTTTTGAATTTAAATTATATATTAATTAGATATTAATTAGATAAGAATGGAATAAGTTAGTTATTGTTTTAAATGATTATCTAGATTCATTGTATCTCGCCCTGTTATATGTAGATCTCATATTATTGTAACAACGTAAAGATATTTCCCCCAAAATTCTTTCTTCTTATCAGTTGCTTCAAGAATTGCTTCTGGAAATATATTACTTATATTTCTTGAAACTTAAGTGGCAAATAACTTTTCAAATTTATAGACTAAATTCAAACATACAGAAGGCATAATTATTATCAAGGGGCAGGCGAAGAAGCAGTGTTGATTCCCTACATGAAGCACACTTGTTTCAGCAATTTCGCTAGACTCAAAATATTATAAGTATTTAATACTGAAGGAAGCTTCGGTAAGCATAAGCAACAAAATCCTAGTTGTTGCCATTCCTGGAGATGTTTGTCCTTTTTCCATGAACTTAGAAGAGATCTGTCATGCTCAGTTTGGAATTGAGAATTCAGATTGCTTTTTTGCTTATTCTAATCATTTTTCGAAGTATGAACTCCTGAACGAGCTTCCATGCATTAAAGCACCGTCCACTCCAGTTTAGCTCTGACCGGCCGGTCTTCAGTCTTCACTCGGGCATCTCCTTTATGGTCCATCTGATGCTTTCACCACATCCAAAGATTTCAATACTGTGTCTCCGATTGGATCCAGTCCATACAGTTGTCCTCATTCAGATGTACTCTTGGTCACTATGACATGGTACCAAGCGTCTAATAACTAGTGTCTTAGCACACATTCTTGAATGTATTTTGATTGAATACTTTTTTTTGCTCGACAAAATTTCTCAATTGATAATATTATCTTGGCCAAATTACATATGACCAAATTTGTGTTGTTCCCATCCAACTTGCATATATGGGTCCTTTTTTTTTTTTTTTTTCTAATAATTCCTCCCATAGCCTCTTGCATCCAATCATGAGAATTCGAACTTTGAATTTGATAAAGAAAAGGATTCTGAGAGTCTTGTCTTGATTATTTGGGCAAACCCTGATAAGTAACACCTACGTACTATGTTCTTTGCAAAATTGTACAAGTTATTTGTCATAAATTATAATATGTGTATAGATTGTACATTGTGCTAAAATATTTGCACTATCAATCCCACCCCTTGTTGTGCATACCAAAATTACTATGTGTATTCTAAATATGACCATACACGTCAATCAATCCTAAGTCCTAACCGTCAAGATGAACCATATTTTGATCCAATTGAGAGCACGGTTACACCTAACAATAGGGATACAAATGTAGTAGTATGTAAGAGCATCTCTAAATTAAGCAGAAATTTTCGCAAGAGCATAGGCAATATCCTCCAATGAAAAGAAAAACTTATTTAGAGAAACCTTTCAATCTTCAATTCATCTAGACCCCACCCCAACGGTCCCTCAAAAGTCACAACAAACTACTCTAATCCTTGCATACATTAATTAAAGCAATTAAAGTACTATAAAACAGGAAACCTAATTGACCCAGGGACCAGTCCTACTCAAGTGAACTCAATTCTGAACTTTCCCCTAAGCTTCAAGCTTTCAAACCACGCGGATCTTCACAGCTCACAAGCATCTGTACACTAAGTTCTCTTTCAATAAACTGCCTTGTATCTATCCTCCGGCCTACTTACAGCTCATAGATCTCTGACTCTTTCTATTTCCTCGTAACAATATAAACCCTCCTCAGTCCTCCCATCTCAGAGCTCATACAGCCTTACTTCTCCATCTTTTACAGTGCCCAAATAGACCTCACGTTGTACTAAAACCATTTCAGCTTTACACTACGAGAAGGAAGAATAGATATCCCATTATCTCCAACCATCTTAACTGGATCATGGGTAAATTTTTTTTCGCTTTCTTGATCCTGTCTGGGATTTTCATGGTACAATCTATGGCTGATAGATCAGAGCTGAAGGTCCAAGAACTGGTCCATTTGTCAGCAAAAATGGAGAGAAGCATAGCTGATCCACCAGCCGTTGACAATGGGGCAGCTGATCATTCAAAAGAAGAAGGTGGATTAACAGAGGAAACGGCTGCTGAAGCTCCTGATCAAGTTGTAGTTAGAAAGATGTCTAAGCATCATTCAACTGATAAGTCTGTTGCTGGTGGTGGTGTCATTATCGGTGGACTTGTGGCTGCTGTTTTTGCTGCTGTTTATTGCTACATTCGGGTCACCAGAAAGGAATCATCTTCAGATGGTGAAAAACATTAAGCAATAACTTAGTAATTTTCACTTCAACTTTTGGAGTTTCAGAGTTATATATATTACGCATGAATGTGTATTCTCATTACTCCATAATTTTACTAGCCAGAGAACAGAGAGTAGGTGTGAATATTAGAGACCAGAAGAATGATACACAGACATTTTATAGTGCTATTTTGGTGAGGGATTTGATTTATTTTTTCATACTTTTGATGATGGGCTTTCAATTTGGTTATGTACAAATTTAGGATATTGGAAGTGCAATTATCAATAATAATAGATTCTTAGTTGTTAATTCTGCACAACAAATATAAAAGCTTTCTAGCTTAATATTCTCTTTTATCATTGCTCTTTGTTTATTTACCTGCGTGGTTTAGAAATGGTTGTATTTACATGTGTTTCGATTTTCAAGAACTCTCCTTTTTCCTTCTTCTCCCTCTCTCATAAGATTTGAAGTTTCATCAATTGACACGGAAGCCGTGGATTGTGCCGTAATAGGTGGGAAATCTCCGAGAAGAGCGGAATTAGATTTGAAGATTCTCAATTGTCTGCCCTCCAAAGCACAAAATTCCAAACCATTGAGCTAGGCTCATTTGCCACCAAGGTGGGTTTTAAGACCAGCTTGGCCTGTAGGTCACCTGTAGCAAAAAAAATTCTAGAATTGTGTCAAAATATTCTTTTGATCTAGTAAGGTCTGCGTAACTACTAGCCTCTAACACAAAGTCTCTTTAAACTCTTCATTCTTTGTAGTCTAGGATAGATAGGTTATACAATAATGGTCGTTTGCAAAAAAAAAAAAAACAAAAAGCACAAAATTCCAAACCAATTTCCTCCCATCTGTAGGAGTTGGCCATCACATATATTGTGAGGGTGGGAGGTCAATGGTTCAAATATTATCTCTTATTAATGTGTCATTATATGCGATTTCTTCTAAATTAGTATGATTGCATGGTACATTCATACATCTGTATGGTCTAATAGTGGTTCAGTCCTTGGTGGTTTTCTCGACTCAGTTGGGTCACCTCTCTTAGAATAGGCTAGAGAGGATTATACTAGATTAGATGCGTCATTACGAAAAAAAAGGAAAGAAAAAGCACAAAATTCCAAATTCCAAATTCCACATTTTATGTATATAGTAAGGTACAAATTCAATTTTATTTTCCCCTATCTTTCTTTGCAAATAATAAACAAATAATAGTAATAATAGTAAAAAGATTTGTTTTAACAGCTGTCTCAAACATTTATTCATTATATCATAATTTACATCTAACTAACTATTTACATGCACATATACACATCCATCCCTTATTTAGACACTTTTTAAATTAATTTTATTTTTATTAGGAAATTAACACTAAAAATTCTCCTAACGTGTGTCCTAGGCATCTTATTAAACATTTAAAATCAAACCCCAATTTTTAATTCGCCTGGATTCGTGGAACTTTGGGTCAAGAAACAAAGTATTATAGTAAGCAGAATTACCGAAGGTCCTCCTATTCCTCACTTGCCACCCCCACAGGTGTCAAATGTGGTGCCAAATGGTAACAGCAGCTCCTCCAAGGCTTCTAAGCAACAAAAGATATAGATCTGACACGCTGACACAGAACTAGGTTCACCAGGCAGAGAGTAGGAACGGATTGTTGTAGTATGGGGAAGAGGGGCAGGAACGGTTGCATGAACTGCCAAGATTTCATTTCGTATCTGCAACCGTTCTTGACAGTTCATGGTTAAGATTTGGTCAAAAAAATTATAAGGTTCAAATTTCATTTTGTATCTAATTTTTAACAACATGCGTGAGACCTATAAAATTTTATTCTAGAGTTACATGTTATTTAAAGTAAATTACACCATACGCAAACAGAATTACGTCGTGTGCAATTTACTTGGAGGGCCTTGAGCCTGCAAATTTTGTCGTCGTTCTATCAAATATTGAACTAATCAAAGTACTTATGTAAGAGATGAAAAGGTAATTCAGTGTAACATTTTAAAACAATTCTTGGAACATATTTTGCGTGTACTTTCGTGTAATGTTTATTTAATTGAAAACTTAAAAGTTTGGTTCTTTTAATTACTAGCTGGGAATCAAAATTTACATGTATTCGATATTAAGACATTTTCATATTAAATTAAAAAGATGAGCATAAAGGGGAACGGATGTGAATTTTAGCCACATTAAAACACTAATTGAACCCTATCTCAAGCTATAAGAGCTCAAGTTCAAACTCATCAAATTCCTAAAAGTTGAAGTAAGCTCAAGATTGAACTCAAACTTGATAACACTTAAGCTCAACAACACATAAAACCTTAATCAAGCTCAAGTTTGAAGTTGGTCAATTTTATACGAACTCAAGTTGCTCAGTTTGTTAATTTCTAGTTCAAGAAACTTGATTTGTAATTCTCTCTCTACCTATTTGTTCTCTCTATTTTTTTTTTTTCTATTCTCAACCTTCTTTCCACCTTCTTGTATTGGAGGGAGATTTTGGTCTCAAACTAAGGTCTCTTTTCGTCTTCCTATATTTTTATTTTATGATTAATAAAGTCTTTCATAGAGTATTCTAGTGAGAATTTTGTCTCTCCAAATATTTATTAGTGAGAATTTCTTCTCTCATAGACTATTTTAGTGGAGGTTTTGTTTAGTTTTTTATTATTTTCCTCAGATTTAAATGTTCTTTCAGATCTATATGTTAGATTTGGAATTTATTAGATTTTTTTGTCAGATCTTAGCATTAGTTTTGAACTTAAATCAGTTGGACAGTAGCTATGAGAGAATAGACATGTACATATATTTATAGAGTAGCTTATGCAATTGGTTAGATTTAATGGTTTGTGATTTATAGTGTAGCCTTTCTTATTTTGTAACTCTATTAAATCTAATAATTTATTTCAGATCAGATATATCCGTGACATGTTCTATATACTTTCTGTCATTAGTGCACCAAATCATACTAGAAGATTTTCAACTAATTTATTAATAATACTGACTTCTGTTTTATCCAAAAAAATAGTTGCTTGGTTTGTTTATGTAAGGGAAATTACATCTTAATTGAGATAGATAAAATTACTATAGAAATTATGTTTGGATAGCTTGACTTTGCATATGGATTCCTGTTGTCGTAAAAAATTTGTATTTCAAATGCAAATTTACAATAATGCTAATATAAAAAATACTCCTAATAACACAAAATTTCCTAAATACAACTTACCTTATATCTATAAAAAGATAAATAAATAAAAATAAAATATCATCCTTTTTTCCCCTACCACCACTCTTGCCATTACTTCCCACCTTCTGTTGCTACTATCCCCTTCTTCTTTTCCTTTTTTTCTCTCTTTCCTTTTATTCTTCTTCTCTCTTCCCCTTTCTTTCTCTCTTCTCCTCCTCTCCCTTCTGTCTTTAGGACCAATCTAGTTACTGGGAGGTTGGAGAGGAGGCTAGAGAGAAAGGAGGTAGGGAAAGAGGAGGGGAGGGGAGGGGAGGAAGGGAAAAGGATGGGGGAGGAAAGAAAAGAAATCGCATTGTCCAAATCTGGTTAAGAGGATAAGATCTGGTTGCGTAAAGAAGGGGAAGGGGTACAAGGATGGTGAAGGGAGGAAGGAGGGGAAAGAAAGGAAAGAGAAAGAGAGAGGAGAGAGGAGGAGGGAAGGCAAAGAGAAAAGGGAAAACTAAGGAGATGGGGAGTAGCAGTGCAAGATTGTGCTTCTAAGAAAGGGGAGTAGAGGTGGGGGGTGGTATTACTAGGAGAGTGGGTGGAGAGAGATGGTGGATGGTTGTGTTAGGAAGGATAATTTTTTTTTTTTAAAAATATCAATAAAGTTTTTAAATTCTAAAAATATCTCAAAATACATTTATAGAGTGAAAGTTTTTAAGGAAAGTTGTTGTTCAAAATGTTTTTCACATTTTTTTCCAAATGAAAATTTTTATTCTTCACTTTTAAAATGTTACTTTTGCATCTCTTACAAATTAAAGTCAGCAAAATTTAGTTTCAACCTATGTTTACAACCATTTTTTTTACCCTGAATCCATTATGTGACTTACACATGATCATTTTTTTTAAGATTAAAGGATTAGATGCCATTTGTTGTTAAACAAATGACTTAATCTATATTTATTTTTCCTTTAAAAAAGTGTAATATGATCCAAACTATATCCATTTTCCTAAAAAAGAGTAAAATTTGACCCAATTCGTATTCATTTTCCCCTAAAAAAGTGGTATCTGACCTTTTTTATACCTAAAAAATAGTAACAAGTGAGTGATGTAGTGGTTTTATATTAAAAAGTGGTTGAAAACCTAGATTGAGATCAAATTTTGCTGACTTTAAATTTGTAAGGAGCATAAAATTAACATTTAAAAGTGAATGATGAAAAAATTCATTTGACAAAATGTGAGAGATGTTTTGAATAATTTTTCAAGTTTTTAATATAAAAAGTTACAGTAACGTATTTCATAAACACTTCTATAAACAGGTAATCCATGCGGTCCAAAATTTTCTCAAATATTATTTTACTGCATAAAAAACACGTCTTCAAATCAACTTCATATCTTCCTAACTATGTTTTTGTCTCATATACACATTTTTAATCAACTTTTTTCTTTTCAATCATTTTTATTTCGCATACATTATATTATAGTGCTATAATAATTATTTCAAATAATGTTTCAAATAATCTCTTAGCAGAACGCACCCAGGAATTTTCTTTTCTATGTATGCTTTTGGTCATTGTTAAGATAAAGAATTGCATTTTTTTTTGTTTTTTACCAAATCAAATAATGAATTGCATGCAGTGCGAGTCTGGATCTTAACACACGGCAGTAATGGATTTTTTATTTTGTCCTACAAAGCCGTGGTTCTTGAACCTCTTTCTTGCCTTTCTATCGTGATTGGTTCCTGTGATCCAAACGCGATTGCCTTTGCTTTTCACGCCTTCGCGGCAGCAGTGGGTTGAACTTTTCAATCATCCGGTCTGGGCCGTAATTAACTGCGTTTTGGGCTACATTGCAATCATACTCGTGTCTCAAAATAACTGAAAATTCAAGATTTTAACATTCGTATTGACGCTTTGATTTAATGCCTGTGAGGTGTTTGTCCATATGCTTGAACCATCGATTCATTATTTCGCGCTTTCCAGTTTCCATAGATGTTTTCTTGTACTGCAATGTAGATTTCTTGCGCTAAAAATAGAACATCTTCAGCCGAGGTTCAAAAGGCCCTCACGCTATTTTTGGCCTGAAACATACGTTGGCAATTTGCCTAATAAGCAAGTTTTTGTGGGAGTAAATTTTAAAATAGTGATAATTTTGAAGGAAAATTCCAAAATTGTGAAAATTCCGAAACAAAATGTGTCTTTTAAACAAGAGTAAAATATATTTTTGGTATCTAAACTTTAACCTTTGAACAATTCTAGTATCCAA